AAGCCCGTTTTGGATTAGCAGCTATCGGTTTAAGTGCAGGTAGCTCCACTGTAGAAATTGAACAACATAAGCAACTAGCCTAATAAATCAATCAATTTATAGATATTTGCTCAACAAAAGCTGAAACGAACCTGGCAGAAGCTGATTGTAGCCAGCATGACCGGCATGAAGCCTGGCGAGTATACCAATGAGAGGGGCATTGTTGTAGGTAGCGGGCTCAGTCTGCTCATAGTTATCCCTCTCGTCAGCAAAATTGTCGTAAGCATCGGGCCCACCAACAATGGCACCCGTGAGAAGGTTTGGGTCACTCGCCTTGCGGCTATACCAGGTAGAGTACCCTCCCCTGCAAGTCACGAATGAGGGGTTCACCTTGTAGGACACGATGGAGGCCCCCCTGTGATGGACCTGCCTAGGATAGTTGCTCCCGTACCCCACCATGTAACTTGTCGCCCGTGGGTTGTCTCCTAGTATGTAGTCCACCTTCAAGAATTTTCACAACATTTTAATTGGAATAGTTGGAATTAATAACAATAATAATAAAAATAATAAATTGTTAATGACAATGAGTTACCTGGGATTTAGCAAAGGCGAGGAGCTCGTTGGGGGAGACATTACCGTTGGCGCATCTGAGGGATTTGCCGGCAGAGGTCAGGTAGTCGGAGTAGACAGCCATTAGAAACGAAGCGCTCGTCACAAACTGCATGTTGTTCCATCTTTGTCTGAAAATGAGGCCGCCGGGGGTCTTTTGGACATTGCGGGTTCCTTTGCCGAGGCACGAGCACATGAAAAATTCAGCCTTTTCTTGGTACCTATGGAAGACTGCGGTATTCCTTCTACCGGCTTTACCCGCCATCAACAACTGCACGAAGCATGGATGAATGAGAAATGAGTGAGTGAGAGAACAAATTATGCTAAAACAGAACTTATGGTTTTGAAAAACGGGCAATTATCAGAATGAAAATTTAGGATTTTTACCATTTTGGAGGACTGAAATGCAATCCTTAGTAAAATATGGGATATGAGTGTGTACCTGAGCCACCATAGTTTGAACACCAGCATACTTGACATCCCATCCAAATTCAGTCATGGCCCAACCAGTTCCTCCAAGGGCATCACCATTGTTCCCAAGGTAGTTCAAGTAGTACGCGTTGTTTGTTGCCTTGTACATCCATGCAGCTGCCCACAATAATTCATCCTTTTTTTTTTAAAAAAAAAGGGCTAAATTTAGTTATATATGAAAAAAAAAATATTTAATTGAAAAAAGGGGGAACGGATAAAGTCCCGTTGACGGATGCCACAGTTTGTTATCGTAGATTATTCACACTACATAACCTACTTTTTTTATCCATTGGTAAAAAACGTTGACGGTACCGTCCCGTAACGGGACCTTAGTATTTTATCTAATGGAATGATAAAATAAACTGAAACACGATTATGGACATGAAAAATCTTTTATCAAGGAATAACATACTGCGTATCCACTGACTGATCGGTAGTACTGCTGCGCAACCGTGATGCTATTGTCATATTTGCCCCTGTACTTGTCCGAGAAATCGAAGAGCTGAAATTATAAAAAAACAGAAAAAAAGTGGCTTGTTAGATAGGGGTAGTTTCGACCTGCTAAAAGATAATTAAGGTACGAGTGGTGCACCGACAGATAATGTCACGTGTCATGAACGAGCCCCACAGTTAGTTACTAATGGGTCTTCCTATGAAGGGCTACAATCAACGGCTGGGATTCTGTTTGGTATTTGATTGGGAACGTTGCTCGTGATTTCCGGCATAAATTCGGTCCCCACCCACATGATCCAATTTATGGGCCGATGACATTTGCCCAGGCCCATTATTAAATGTCAAAACGTTTCTCAAGTTTAAATTTAAGAATAATATAATATAAATAATATAATATATAGACTATAGTATTATAAAATGTTATAACTCTAATAATGTCAATAATAAGGCTATGTTTGGTAGACGAATAAACTAGCTTATAACTTATTTGATTAGCTTATAAACTTCATGTATTCAAATAAGTCTTCGTTTGGTAAAAAAGCTCGAGCTTATTTGATAAACTTCTCTATGTAGTTTTTTAAGTAAGCTAGTTGAATTTTGGTGCAGCTAACTTATCTGCTAATTTTACCAAACACTTTTATCATATGAGTAACTTTCCAGCTATAAATCATAAGCTATAAGCTCAAAAATTACTGATAAACTATAAGTTACCTTATCAGCTATCAGCTAGTTTGTTACTAACAAACGCATCATCGTTACCAACACGTAGAGAATTTTGAATGTCCTATTCAAGTTTAAAATAAAACCTCGGATTTTGTGTCTTCAACTCAACAGTAATATCCTGTCTTCCAATATCGCGTAAGATTTTAGTTCAGTTTTTTGTTCTATTTTGCCTTTGACCCAACAAAAGGTAAGAAAATTCAAGATTCAAGATTTACTGTTGATTTGAGGGATATAAGAGCATCTCCAATGGAACGTTGTCCATTGTGAATAGCATGAAGAAAGGAAATTAAAAAAATGTGTCTCCAATGGTAAGCATTAATTGTGGTATAAATTGTGATGTGTAAAATTGTAATTGGTTGAAAAAAAAAAAGATAAATTAAATAAATAATATAATATATTGTGGAAGTTGTTTAGAATGGCTTCTACATCTAGAAGTCTTTCTAGACATTTACCATGCCACATATGATAATTTGTGCCATGTGGCAATAAAAAAGAAGAATAGAAGAACCATTGGAGATGCTATAAAGGCCATGAAGCATCGTCATAGTAATTTTCTCACTTTTTACTGTCTACGGTTAATTTCTCGCCGTTAATGAATTAAAAATTTAAAAGTTAGTACCCTTCTGTGACAGTGCACCGACTAAACAACCAACCTGACAAGAGTGGGCCGAGCCCAACCGCCTAAATAACTGAGTCCCTCTAACTATCATGCGCACCCCCAAGTCTTGCTATAATGCGCACACTCACACTAACCACACATACTACTGAGTACAAGAAAAACTGGAAAAAAAAAAAAGAAAAACAAAATAGAAAATTTAGTTGACCTGCAGGGCGTGTTTAAGGAGCTCCGCCGCGTAGGGAGCGTTGTAGCGGCGGAATACGATGGAAGCGGCGGCCATGGCGGCGGCGGTCTCGCCGGCGAGGTCGGAGCCCGGGTGGCTTGGGTCGATCTTGTAAGCGACTCGGGAGGTGGTCATGTCCTCCGGCCTCTGCCAACAGTAGTGGTCCGTGTTCCCGTCCCCCACCTACCACTCAACCCACCTCGCTCATCAATTTCTTAACCATGCTCTAAATTAAATGTATAAATAAATATAAACAAAAATCCAAGTTAATAATTCAATTACCTCTCCATAGAGCACATAAGGTTGGGGATGAGCTTTGATGAAATAGTCAGTGCCCCACTTGACGGCGTCCAGGGCGTGGCCAAGCTCGCCGCCGGCCGCCATCTGCCTCCCGTATTCGAGTATGCTCCAGGACATCATTGTCACAGTGAACGCCATCGGCAGCCCGAATTTCACGTTGTCCCCGGCGTCATAGTACCCTCCGACCAGATCCACCTGCAAAAATCACACACAATGCCACAATTTACCCTGAAAATTTCAAAAAGCTAAAAAAATCTATGCACAGGTAGATAGAGCAAATGTATACCCCGCTAGCTTTTCCGTCATTTAGGCCTGAATGGCCTCTCCAGTTGACTCGCTGGTTTTTCGGTAAGTAGCCAGATCTCTGAGCTTCGAAAAACAGAAAGCTCTTACTGAGAGCTTCGCCGTAGTCATAGCTGGCAAATGCCTGAGGAAGAAGAACAATGCCGAGGACTAAAAACAGGGGAGCCATAGAAAAACAGAGCCCCGAGGATTTCTCCATTCGATTCAAACCCGAATGATGATAAATGCTCAGAAGGGTTTTCTTTTGTGAAGGAGCAAGGTAATGGGCGATATATACAGATCTGTTGTGCCTGTATATGTGTGCTTTTAGTGTTGACAGTATGAACAGTATAGTATGAGAGTTTGGTTTATCAGTAAAAAAAAAACTTGTGATAAACTCAAACAGAGAATGAAAATGCAATTCGAGGTGAATTGCAGGAAAGTACAGAGAGAATTGAGAGTGGGGAGTGAGAGAATGAGGGGAGCTTAAGCCCAGTATATATGGGAAGAGTGAAGGTTTGGTGTTGTGAACACAGTATAAATAACAATAAATGCGTTTGTTTTTCGTTATTTTTTTTTTTGTTTCATTTTTCCTTTTTGTTTTTTACTATATATTTTCCTTTATTTTGAGAGGAAAAAAAAGGAAATTACAATTTTTTTTATTTTTTTTAGCCAGCCACGGTATCCGGAGTTTGGCCCCGACTAATCCGTTGGTCGACCCAGGTCGCACACCTGACAGTGGTGGATATCTCAACAAGGGTTTTCTGTATTCACAAGGACTCGAACTCGAGACCTTGTTTACACGACATCAAACTGCTTACCACTTGAAAAAATCTCTGTTTGGTAAATTACAATATTCTTTATGAGAATGAGAATGAGATGAAAATGTGGCAAATGCATGTGCATTTGTTCTTCATGTGCTTTTGCTAGGAAGGGTCCATCGAGGATTTGTTGTACTCGTGTGTACATTTGAAATTTGAGGTGGCAAATTTATTTTGTCAATGAGGAAATTTGCTAGCTGCAAAACACACACACACACACACACACACACACACACACAAAATTATTCAAAATTTTTTAATTAGCAGAAATTGGTTAAGGCTGTATTGGTTTGATTTACTTCATGTGTTGTTGAATGTGTGTACAACTTTCTTCTAGCAAGGTAAAAGGTTATTGGGTAAGGTTTGAGGAGTTCTCAAATGCAGTAAAGAAAGAGTACTACCTACATTTTTATTTTTAAATGTCATTTTGGTTTTATGAACCATTAACAAAATAAATAACGTTTTGGATCTTTTGTACATATTTTTTTATTATTATGTTCATTTAACTAATAAATACACTACGTCTTTTCATATTAACTCTTCATTTTTTCTCAAAACATCCACCTCAGTCTTCATTAATGAGAGCTATTATTAGCAAAAAAAAAATATTCTTAATTATTGTGCAAATTTTCAAAACGACATTTATTAAAAAAATGGAGAGAGTATATTGTGTTGGCTGAAAAGTAGGGGTAAGTCAAAAGTTGCCTCTTAAGAGGGTTGTCTCATTTTTTTATGTCCCCATTGTGTGGAGTGACAATAATAATGGGTTTGGGGTTAGGCATGGGTGGTTAAAGGGATTTTCATTGGCTTTGGATGATGGCTTTATAGAAGGGAGGACAACAGATATCATTTGGTTATCATGTGGGGACAAAAGTTTATGATCCACAAATGGAGGGAAATTTGATGGATAATGGAAGACTCTCATGTGCATGTGCTATGTGGTGATAAATGTATTTAGAGGAATTTGTAATGGGCTAAAAAGTTTGGAGACCAATGTATCTAGAAATGCTAGATAATTGTAGATGAACATATAGCGACCGGAAGAAAGAAAAAAAGCGAAAAATTTAATGTTCAAATCCCTAAAATCAAATCAGCGCATCGTGATCTATCTGCTCCTTCCTCCTGGCTCCTCTTTACGCCGCGGCGACCTCCACCTCTCTCTGGAGGTGACAGGCACCAAGGGCGGTCTTGTTTCTGCTGTCGACTTTCGGTTTCTTGTACTAGGGTTTGTCGTCTTCCAGTGGCCGAAGAGGGTTTCGCGAGGTTGGTTCCCCTGGTTTCTGTCCTTCTTTTGGTGCGGGGTTTGGACGGGCGCCTCCGGTGGTGTATTGCCTCGTTCTTTTAATAAATGTTTAGCTCGTTTTTCATTTAAAAAGCTTACCTTAATTAATTTTGAATCTAATATTTAATAAAATGGATCATAAATTATAAAAATGATTATCTTAATATTACTAGTATTAGTAAATTGATTCAATTAAAATTTGTTAGCCAAATGGTCTTATTAATTGGTTTTATTTCAAAATTCAAATATTTAAAGAACAAGAAAAAAAAAAAGTAGAAGAATTAAATCATACTTTAGGAAGATGGTACGATTCTGTAATGGGACCTTAACATTTTTCCATACTTAAAAAGTTCATAAGAAAAAGTAGAATCTTACCTTGTGTGGAAGAGCTAAATTCGGTCCAAGTAACTCTTAAAACATCCGCCCATATTTTGGGTTTAATTTCAAATTAATGCTAGCCATTTAAGGTAAGTAAATCACCACATCATTCTCCATTAATTTCCTTTAGCCATTTTATTCCAAGAAGTAAGCCTAATTCCCCATTTTGAATCTATATATCTATATATATATATATATATATATATAATTGCTAGCTAATCATTAAATAAAACTTCATAAATAAAACTTGTTGATATCATTTTCTGTAAGTCAGATTAAGCGACACTAATCCGTTGATTGGAATCAATATAATGGTGATTAAGGTTCATGTGAGCAAGAGACACTTCTACCAACTTCCAGGTGACTACACAATGAAGATTCAGCAGAAACCGACGTCCTTACTAAGTTGACCGATATCGCATGTCGGTCAAAACATGTCGGTCAACACATGTCGGTTACTACATATCAGCCACGACATAACGGTTATAACTAGGTGGACCGATATTTATAACATGCCAGCTCAGCATGGTAAGGCGGCGACAACTCAGCATAATTCATCATTACGTTTATCCAAGTGGCAAGCTATCAAGAAAAACCACCAAGGACCGCCTTTGACCTTTCCAAATGTAATGATTATTGTACAGATAAATATGGTATGTAAATATAAAAGGGAAATAGAGAATTTCCCAGACAGACAAGAATATCACCTTATTACATGCTACAAATTACATTTCTGAGTATAATACACAGGCTTTTCGTCGCTAAACATTTAGATTTACTTAAAATACATCCCGATTTGGTTGTTGTTAATTTCCATGTAACAACAGTTTGGCGCTAGAAGGAGGGCGGGAATTTCATTCACTGTTAAAACCATTTGCATACACAGAATCATCATGTCACAATCCGGGCGAGACCATGCTACTCACCCTGGACAGAGCCATTCAACTAGAGATGTTAAACGGGCTAGCCCTAGTGGTTTCGGGCTAGCCCTAGCGGGCTTCGGGTTAAACGGTCTGGGTCTAAAAAGCCCAAATTTAAACGGGCTACCAAAAAAGGGACCTAACCCTAACCCTAGCGGTCTTCGGGCTAAACGGGCTATGCGGGCTATAATAATAATACTAACAATAATAATAATAATAATAATAATAATAATAATAATAATAATAATAATAATAATAATAATAATAATAATAATAATAATAATAATAATAAAAATAAAAATGAAAACGGCTAGTTAAAAATTGTTTTCAACGGCTATTTAGTATTTACCGTCTATCACTATGTTTCATGTGTTTCTTATTAGTCGTTCTGATTGGCTTAAATATTTTCGTAAGAAGTACAATAACAATATTATTAATAATTATCTTTCAAAA